TAATAGTACCTCATTATTCAGTGCAAAGTTAGTATCTGCAGTAATGGAATTGTGCGGTTATATCCTTAATAATACAATTATCATCAGATAACTTAATGGTGCTCCGCCAAAGTGCAGCAAATGCAGTGAAACAAAAGTGGAAAAATGACACAAATCACAAACTGAATCATGATTCCGTGCTCAATTCCGCTTTCTAAATACAGTTACCACTCTTTCCAACACTGTAATAGTTTTAGAGCTCCAGTCCTGGTGTCTGTCTTGAATCTGATTAGAGTAAACTTTGGTGAGGGTGAAAGGAGGAGAGAGGGAGGCCTGAAAATCACTCACTTTTTGCCTGCTGGCCTGTTGCCAGAAGGTGGGATTTGAAGAATAATGTCAAAGACAGGACACCGGCAGGCGGGGGGAGGCCGAGCTGCTGCTGGTTGATCAATGGCAGTGGAAGGAGAAGTGCTACTTTGATCCAGTAAAAAAAAAAAAAAAAAACATCCTAGACATTTAGCTGTGTTCTTAAATAAAACATTTAAATCCTACAAACACGTATTGACAGTCCAAGCACAAGTATATAAAATGACCCTTTTACTTGACTTCTTCATATGGTGTGCATGAACTAATACACACAGCCATGAACAAAACATCTCTATATATTGTTTATGAAACGATACATTTTTTCCCCTATAATTCCTATCGTGCTTCCACTTAAATGAGCTAACTTAAGAGTCTGAGGAGGGAATAAAACAGAGTGTGTCAGCACAGGAGAGAATGTGAAGGTGATGAACTAAGCACACAAATGGTATGTTGAGTAATGTTATAGATACAGGAGAACACTAGACTGCCTTTGATCTAATTTGAGATCTTGGACAGGGACAAAAGAGAAAAGGTTTGGGAGTGAAGAGACACACTCTGTGTGTTTAATGAGAGGTTGACGAGGTGGGTTGAGAGTTAGAAGAATGAGCGACCAAACAGCTGCCACAGCTGGAAGTGAGGCAGATGTGGTAAACAAAGCTGTTGTCAATGCATATTTGCCATCAGGTACTGTTATTTGTCCAACATGAAGGATCTTTAGAGAAATAGAGAAAACGGAGGAGTATAACCAACACCCATAATGAAAACCAAACGCTTAAACGTGACATAGATAAACCCAAACAGACAACAATCCCTCATAATAGTTTTGTGCCCGGGGTAACTTTGAGCATTTTCTGTCGAAGTGAAAATGTGGAATGAGTTACCATCATATTAGGCAACATTATTCTGCTTGATAAGAATCATCCCATCATTGGTACTTTAAGATGATGGAATTTGTTTTCAAATGATACTAAAGGCACCAAATTGGAAGACTGGAAGAGTGGTGCAAGATGCAGGAAAAAAAACCACCTGATTCAGAGTACATTCGATTCAGGTTATTAGAGACAGTGACAGATCTTATTGTCACAGACTTTGTCCAGCAGAGTGGCTCTGTTTCCTTTATTCATAATGTTTTCAGAACTCAGAACGCTCCAGTTATTCTTCTTATTCAAAAACATCCCTTAATCAAAAGTCTTTGTCTGCATATATAAGGACTTCACTGCACATTCATTTGTGACGCAAACATGAAACAACAATGAAGGGCAATGTAGAGGCACAAAAATTTACATTTTAATTTCATAAATCCAGACTTTTACACATGAAACTACTGAAAGTGCAGCAGAGAGGGACACAGGGTTCGACTTTCCTGGAATCGTCCTGTGTGGCAACAACTGAGCTGATGGCGTTCTCCTTCATGTCCAGGTCTGCGATTCCAAAGTCCCAAATCACGTCATACTGCATGGTTGATATTCTCACTGTATCCTCATATCCACTCCCAGCTCATCCAGCCACTGATTTGACATTCCTCATCAGAATCAAGGGAACAGGACTTTTTCACCATCTTTTTTCTGTCTAATATCCACAATGTTTCCTCTTCAAAACGTCGGGGAATTGAGGTCTTCTTGTTTGTTCAGACTGTGGTTGGCATTCAAAAAGCTCAACCTGCTGCCCCTGTTCATAAACAACTCTGTCACGGGCATCGAAACTCATCATGACAGATGTCACATGTACAAGCAGAATCCACCACAGCAGCACAGCTTCCAAACCAGCAGGACAAAAAAAAGTGAACCATGATTTATTTAAGCAGGAAAATGTCTTTAAGATAGAAAGAAAAAAAACAGCCTTTAGGTTTTATGTTGAGCACATTAAAAAGGACAATAGCGGACAGTGAAAACTAATTACTGCTTCCACAGCTGGCCTCATAGGGTTAGGCTTTGGCTCCCACCAGAGTTTCATGTATCAGAAGAGAAGCTATTTTGAACACCACTGTAGTGGTGATGCTGCTTTTGCCACATCATTTAGTAGCACTGCCAGCCTTAAAATAACAACTAGCTCACACATTTCTCTAGAGAAACACTCAACATTTGTAGTGTCCCCCACTACTATGACCTACATCTGCATAACTGAATAAAATCTACAGCGCTAACTGATTACTCATGCTTTAAGTAAAGGAAAAAAAAACACACGTTTGAAGCAGATTCAAAATCAACTCCTGAATTACTGAAACTTCCAGTTTCTTCTTTTATAGTTTCCATCTTTATCAAATACCCAAATATGTGTACCACTGTTACCAGCCCCTAAGGACCACACCTTGGCCCACCTTAACAACGGCTCCCTTCACTCCGGGCAAGCGTCCAGGAGGATGGGACTTTCTTCACCCAATAAAGCTTACGGGCTCCCTGCGGCCCTGGAAACTCGCCTCATAATTATTCTGTTGGCCCTGTAAAGAAGCCAGGGACCCTTTCCCCGTCCCATTACTCCCATTACTCAACGCCAAAGATGCTGCAGAGAAGGCTCCCCTGGCTGCTCTGTAGCATAACTGCAACAGCGGAGGTTGAAGCCAGCACATAACCAATGACACGGGCTCAAACTCTATTTTTAAATATTTGCTCCCTGTGAAATGCATATGGGGACTGAAATGCAAACCGCTCAAAGCAGGTTAGAATTATTAATCTGTTCAAGCATCTTAATTTGTTCAGCAGTATGTAAATAGAAGGCTTTGAAGACACGGCTTTAAAAGAACACGGTTTCTGGGAAATAGAATCATTGAATCACAGAGGTGACTGCCCTTCCTGATAAAGTATATTGTCCATATTAAGTCTTGTTGCTTTGGAAGAAAATAAAGAATGTGATAAGAGCACGAGGCGTGCAATTTTCATAACATTTTAACCGTTGTAGGATGGGAGTGTCTGTTCCTGTGATCAAGCTCAAAGACAAAAACAGCCATGGCAGGTGCCACTTTCAGTCATTTAGTTCTTCACTCTAAGCAGCTCTTGTGTAAACTATAATAAGAATAGCATTTTAGCCTAAAAATGAAATTAGAAAGACAGACTTATATAAGATAAAGTGTATCTTGCAATATCTACTCCGACGGATTTATGGGATCAGACTGTGGAGACAATCAATCCATATGATGGATTAAAAAAAAAAAAACAATAAATAAAAAATGGAAGCCTAGATGTGTACTCTCACACGTGTGTTGAGTATCAGTTGAGAAAAAAGGTTTATATTTTCTATAGTACTGATGAATGAAGATGAATTTAGTCAGCCATCCAAAGTCAAAGTCTTCTGACACACAGCTCTGACAACAAAAAACTCCCATCTGGTGAATAAAAAGCATCATATTTAGATTAGGGAAGAGATTAAGTGAGGGAATTCTTAAAAGCCCTCTGAAAGGTCCTTTCAAGCATGGACAAAAAGTTAGTTAAGAAAGCAGTGGTGATTTAAAAAAATTCTTTTTTACAGCAACAGGTTGGCTTGTGAAGTTTGTGGTAATGAAGTCATATGGTGTTTTTCCTGCCAAAGCACAGCCTCAAACAGGAGAATGTCAGAAGAGATAAACTTTGGTGGAGTCCGTTGAGAGAGAGCATATGAAGCTGGGAGGTAATACAGTCCAACATACAACAGCTCCATCCAGTGGCCTCTAAGTGTATTAAAAACTACAACAATTTAGTGTTGCTGAAAAACAGAGATTTAATGTTTCAAATTAATTGAGATGGATTAAACTGAATCAAAGTTAAGAACTGCAAAACTGAAGGTGATAATACTCCCCCAATTATCACTTAAAAATATGTTTGGTAAAACAATTATCAAGATACTTGCCAGTCCAGATGTTATTGACAAGTGCGAAATAAACATTTTCCAATACAAAAAATTAGACAAGTGGTCTGTCCAAGCTTTTAATCATCCTCACTTTTTCAGTTAGTTTCCGTGCTACTCTGCCTAATTTGAGAAATGTTCATCCAATTATGATACATGTTTGACATATATGTTGCTCTGCATGTCTCTAGCTGTTTATTCTTTTGTTTAAATGGAGCCAAACATGGTAGCCAGCTAAAGTACGGTTACAGCCTTATCCCTACAGCAAGATTTAGGGGGAAGATGGATTTGTACATTAGCTCTGGGGCAACATGGATTTGTACATTAGCTCTTATCCAAATTTTAGTTAAAAAAATCTGAGATGCTGGAAGTGACCAAAGATTTTCCAAATAAACTCAACAATGTGGGTCATGTAAGTAAATTGTAATCAGAGCTTTAAGCCTACATTTTGTAAACATGAACCCCCTAATTTTATTCGTCACAACAGTACAAAATCTCCTGGCAGATTTTGAGTGATACGGGTTAAAGTGCTCACAAGAAAAGGTTTTTCCTTTAAATGATTTTAGAACCCCATATATGAGAGTCATCTCTCTGTCTGATGTCCCTCTGTTTCAGGAAGTCTCCACATTATGGGGGTTATCTGAAAAAGGTCCCAAAGTCTCAAAGTAAAACTGAAAATATAACTGATCTTTTTGCAATATTATGAGAAAAGATGTACCGTCTTGGATTCCCATCCAGATAATTACATAATATTGTCAAAATGTCTTTCCATAGATTATTGCAAAAACTTTGCAAACCTGATATATACCAATTAATCCAATAGGAAAATATGTTGTTTACTGAATCTGACAAAAGGCAAGGTACAAAAGGCAGCTTTAACGTTAGTAGATTAGCCTCAATAGTGTTCCAACATGTGGATGTATTATTTATTTTCCTTCGTACATTTTCTTTTCCTTTTCCTATTTTGATTTCTGAGTCATAACAATGGTGAATAAAAACAATGTAAGGATAAGAGATTGGATTTTATTTAGTCCACTTTTCAAATTTACATTTTCAGTTGAGATTTGTTAAAAAAAGACAAAGCATTGTCAGCTTTGCAGACTGTATCACAAAGAAACGGCACTAAGGAAAGAGTGAAGTCAAATGAAGATGACTTAGTAGGCACATATTTTAGAGGATACACGTGAATACAGCTGAGAGCTAAATATGTACAGCAATGATTTCATTTTGTGGTCGCACACGCTTGGGATTTCTGAGGAAGCAATGACAGGTTAGTAAAGCTCAGATCTGTGGAGGCAGGCTCATAAACTGTCTACAAACAAGTTGACTGCATGAGTCAGTCAATTTGTCAAATTTGTAAGCCAGTTCAAATTAAAATAAATTAAACCTAAGAGAAGAAAGACAAGAAAAAAATAACGTGAAATTTAAGTTGTGAAGCTAATTTACCAGCACATATCAAACTAAACATCTTAAAAGGCTCTGGTAAACGTCCCCTCATTTGGATCCACGACACTCAGCTAAAACCGATCATGGAATAGACCTGATCAATTCAATTGAGGAATAAATTAGAAATGGAAAGCTCTATTAGTATGCATTTCAAAAGAGTACCTGATTTTATTCTCTCTGTAACGTAAGTTTGATACCTTTGCATAACTTACAGAAAACCTGTTACGCTCTTAAAAACTCACAGTAATTCATTCATTAATCACAAGTTCTGAAGCCATCTAGGACAGGTACAGAATTCTACCCTGCAGAATCCGTATACCTGTGAGTCACAAATGGTGGATATTTCATACAAATAAAGGACACTTCCCCTGTTTATATACATAACACTTTTGTACAGTCCTTGCACTTCCATAATAACAAATCGAAGCATTTCAACTTACAAAAAACATAAGGAGAAAAAAAAAGAGGAAATTATAGAATTCACAAATTAAACCTTAAGTCAATCTAAAGCTTAAATTCAGCACTTGCTTATGTTTAGAATGGATGAGTTCAACTGCCTTTGATCCGAAAGGAAAAAATCAATGCAATTAAAAACTGGTCGTACTTGCCTGCTGTTTTGTAATGTTGCTTTAATACAGATATGGATCAGTTTTAGCCATCTGCCATAACTTAAGGAAGAAATCTTTAAACTGACCCAAGAACAGTGTCTACTAGACCTGATAAAACAGCAGAAAGTTGAGATCAACGCTGTTAACTTGCTATGCTATCTAGTAGTGTTGCATTGAAAAAGCAATGTAATTATTATCAAGTGATTTCGCTGGCAGTCTAAAACAACACCCGCCAGCATTACAATCTCAGGATATGTTAACTCTGGATCAGCCTTCAGGCAACAGACAAGATGAAACATTAAACAAAAACAAAGTCCTTGAATCCATGTAAGAGACGGTGAATGTTCAAAGTTCATGAGTCTGTTAAAGTCCACCCCCAAAGTCCAGTCATTCCACCTAATGTCATACAGAATAAAGCTTATTCCTGGCCCACGCCCCTTTCTACAAATGTACACAGTGCTCTCCTTGGCCTGACAGCTGTGTAAACTAAAGTCAGATAAGTGGAGAAGATGATCCACTGGCTCCCATGCACCAAGGACCTTACTGAGGTGGAATGACACCACCCTGAAGCACAGAATGGAGCCTACACTAGAGCTGATGGCCTGTGAGTTTGGAGGTTTGGAAGTTAGGCAACAGGTTCATTTAGCTACTTTTGCGGGGGTATCAGTCTCTGTGGATTGGCGGTCTTCACTCCAGGCCTCCCTGGTGTTCTTAAGGGCCTGTGTGCGCTGCTGGTCCACGAGCACGTAGTCAACCCGCTCACCCGACGCTGGAATGCCAGTTCCATTGTTTTTCATCTGATGAAAGACACATTTTGTATTAAAAACAGAAGTAACCTCAAGCAATTATGAAGACACTATAAATAATATTGAGGCAGATGTACTCATACCTTCCTTGGTGGGGTAGACTTTCCGGAATCAAGATCCAAATCTAAGTACTCCACCTGTTTATCCCCCTTCAGCTTCACCATAGGGCTACTGCCACCATCCACAGGAAGGGGTGCAGCAAGCTTCATGGTCTGCTTGAGTTGAGGAAAAGATATGTTGAACAATGGTAATAAAGAAAGCCATTCTCACATGTCAACATTAATGTGTTGTCACAATAACCAAAATTATTGTATAAGACTGAAAGAGGTTTGATATTCAATTTACAAAGTACCAGTGGGGTTGCAATCTGCTTATTGTATAATTTGTGACTACAAGTTACACTGTTTTCCACAGTTTGGCGGGTGTAACGATTTAAAATCAGGTCCTACTTTTATGTCAAAGTATATATGTTTTCAAATTTCCATGTTGACTGACATGACCTGTGGAGTAAATATTGCTGCGTACAGCCATAAGAGGGCACGATATGCTTGTGACAGCTTGCTGAATAATTGCCAATGTGTTATGTTAACATACTAATCACCTATTAAGCATGTTGTCCTGTGCGCTTTAGTGTAGTTGAATAACTTGCCATTACTGATCAAATCTCTTTTCTGTTTTGTTTGTTTGCTTGTTTTTTGAGTAAGGACGGACATCGCGGTATAAAATGTGAGCGCCTAACCGAGATGGAAGCTGCTCTGCCATTTAATGTGCTAGGCTAAAAGTCGCTTACATTGCCCCACCTTAATCCAGCCCACCATTTACATTACAGCCGGTCACTCCTTGAGTGCTCCATCGTCTCCTTTTTTAAACCTCTTGTTGTGTTTGATCAAACAAGAAAAATGACAATTCACATTTGGCAATGTCATTTTGGTATTGTGACATCACAGACGCTGAAGCTATAATGTGTGTTAACTTGATCTACGAGTAAGATGAGGTGATTAGAACTAGGATATATTAGAGCATACTAACTGAAGGGAAAGAGGTAGTATTACATCATCTAAAAATCACTGCAAACCTTATCCAAACGCCATTTTTGGTGTGGTTTTGCTATTACATCTTGGTACAACTGCAACAACACCTGCAAACTGGTGTTCTGACAGGGCAGGCCATGCATTTCTAACCTGGCAACCCTGCTCACCTCCTCTATGGTGTCAAGTTCCTCCATCTCCCTCTTTACAGGGGTGATGGGAACTGTGCAGTAGAAGGACTCCTCTCTACACAGAGTAAGAGGGAAGCAGTAGCAAAGGAAACAAAAGAAGAGCAGATGGTTAAGACCAAAACGCAGGAAAAGGAAAACTGATGAAGCCAGAGCCTGAGGGAGCCAGAGAAATGGGAAACTAGGGAGAAAGAAATTAACATAAGTGATGAAAGAGCAGGAAGTTGGCATATCGTATTGAGCAAGGAAAAAGTCAACTTAATACTGAAAGTGAGGAAAATCACATACCAGCAATTACAAGTACCAAAACAGTAACTGATGTTACCCATCAGAGCTAATGTGATCAGTGCTTAGCCGATGCATTTGTTAAGCCTTTAGAAAGTACAAAGCTGTCTTTACCAGTTGTGACAGCTTCATTAGTGATCTCTGAATAACTAAAAGACATGCCAACTTTATGTTATTATTTGTTCTCAATGAAAAAAAAAACTCAAAATACCAGAAAAGCATATAAACAGAGGACAAAGGAAGAGGAGGATCAGAACTCAAGGAAACTGCAAAGAAAATAAGTTTAAGTGTGGAGGAGTCCATCTGCAGCCACCAGTTTTCTGTCCATATCAGGCGGTTACAAATGGTTGAGAGAAAGGATGAGGACCAGATATTTCTTAGTTTTTTCTTTAGATAACGCCAGAATGATTTATCCTGAAAACTCAGCTTCAGATTAATTTTTCTGTTATATTCAAGGTGTGTCAGAGAGAAATGTAGGTTTACGTCTAAATAGATGAAACAGATCCATGAAAATATATTAAAACACAAGCTCAAGTGGATTATCATTATTCTTCTTTTTGGTACCCTTAATTAAATTTGCTTTCAAAAGTAAATAATAAAGTAGTCATATGACTTATTTTATCAGAGGACAGTTGTGTGTTACATACTGTTTCATCTGTGGATTTACTAGAGTCCATGGGCATATAATTCTCATCATTCTCCTCGGAGTCAGTGCTGGAGGCCGTGCTATGCACTGACGGGGGTCTTGTTGGCATTGGAAACCTAGAGAAACTGAGCAGCATTCACAATGTTTACACACCGACTTCCAAGCAAACACACTCTCTGGTGAGCACAAAACATAATACAGACATAAGAGCTGCGGCCATAAACCAGCGCAGCCCAGGGAGTCCCTGTAGTATTAAGGACAGAAATAGACCCCATCTCAGACAGGCCAGCAGACTGCCTTTGGTGTAATGGAGCTCTGAGGGGGATCCCAGACCTGTTTGTATGAGCAGTGCTCCTTTGGTCAAACAGTGACTACAGTAATGCATGAAGTGTTAGTGTCTACCTCTTTGGTTAATTGTATCCACTACAAAAGGGCATGTTCTCACCAAACTGTTTAACCCCAAAAAGACCGTAGCAGTGTTTCATGCTGGTGATACTGTGATTGGGCAGGTAAATGCACAGAATTTCCAAACTTCTCTGGGGGGCCACTTTCAGACAAGAACCCCGATTCAAATGAAAACCAGGGAAAGCAGAACTGTAAGAGCATGCCCTTAGTTGTGAGCAAAATATGAAACTGAAGCTTCTAGATACTTACTCTCGAGCAAATGTTCGTGTGACAGGTGAGCGGACAGGTGTGCAGGGCTCCTCCCATTCGGGCAGTGGTTTGATCTCCAGTGGAGCAGGTTTTCCTACAACAAAACATGCCCCAGTCAGCCGCTTTTTAATGTCCAGTCAGTATTTAGGCATTTGAGTGAACACCGTCTCTATAAATTGCCTCCCAACTTCATACTTTACTTAATAACAGTAACATCTTCTTTTTTTGTTTGGTCCAGTTCAGTTTCTGCTAAAAGATGTATTCTCTTATGCAATTCAAAGTAACCACAGATGTGCATACGGCACACACACTAGACCTGTTACTTAGTTTTTTGTGTGTGTGTGTGTGTGTGTGTGTGTGTGTGTGTGTGTGTATGTATGTATGTATGTATGTATGTATGTATGTATGTATGTATGTAGGAAAAAAAACAATAATTTAAGTTGATGCATGTTGAGTTTGTCTGTCAAAAATGCAGTGAAGCTCATGAGAGACAAGATCAGCTAATTAACAAGCTGTTCCATTGAAATATCATGCCCCATGCAAAGTCCCACACCGCAGTTTGGCCTCAATTACGAATACCTCCGGTACATTAAACTTCTTCATTCTACTAAATCGTTAGCTGAGAGCTTTTGTCAACAACTATAATGACAGAACATATTTGCTGCAACTTTAGAGAGCATCTGGTAAAACATTTTCATTTCACTTCCAATGAATGCTTATGTTCTGATTCATAGACCAAAAATGTATTAACTGTACTTAAGAGGTCAGTCACACTGAGCACTACAAACATGGACCTGAAGGTTAGTATGGAGATGGAGAAGAAAAAACTGGTTTAACCAGGATCTTCTGAGGATGTTGTCTAAACAAACCCAAACACCCAAAACAGAAGGCAATGTGACATAAATGTCACATTCTCTGTTGGAGAATGACATAACAGCCGCTGGGTATGTGGGTAGCCAACCTGCTTTCTTTACAATACTCCAACACCATCTAAGCTCAAACCGATTTAAGAAAAAAAAAGTAAAAAGGATGAGTACTGTAAACTACGCAAAAGAGTTTCAATGCCAATATGGTAGTTATACCTAAGCTGGCATCTCACAATGGATAGAGAACTATGGCCATTGGTGCTAAATTTTTTTTTACTTAGTTTAATCTGAAACTGGCCCAATCAATTGTGTGGGTACAAAGGAGCAAAAATATATATATAGCGGTTAATAAAATGTTCTCATTTAAATAATATTTTGTTGAAATGCCTCGTGTTGATCTGACGACCATTATAAAAAACCCTGTGAGTTTGTCAGTGACAATAAGCACTATGTGGCTGTTGAAAAGTTGTGTTTGTTCTGAAATCACAATGTGTTATACTGCAAACAAAAACACCAACTCATAGGTCGAGGAATTGAAATGTTAGTATATCATTTTGTTGACTCCGTTAAAGAAACTGTGTTAGTTTGCGGGGAAATGAACATAAGAGCCCACTCATGTATCTCCGGCTGGAATTCGAAATGAGGAGATAGTGACTTATATCTAATCTTTTTATTTGAACCCAAAGCCATTTAAAAACAGGAAGAATCTCAAAGTGCACTACTTATAACATGCAAAGAATCCACATAGATCAGTGTGTGGAACAGTCAGAGTGAAAGTGCTCAGGTGCACAGGAGCAGTTCGGTGTGGTGTACCTACCCTTGCGTCGTCCCCGCGGGAATTCACCTACGGTTTGAGAGTCCGTTCGCTCTAAACAGACACCTTTTGCTCTTATTATTTTAGGACTCTGACCTGATTGGTGAAAGAAGACTTTGCTTATTACAAAATTTTTAATAATCACAACAGTTAAGCCCTACAGTAAACAGCTGCTCTGCCATGCAAAGCCAAAGACAAGACTGGTGCAAAACTTCACCCTCACTTACAGCCCATAACCTTTTCTAGCAGTTCACTTCTGGAGAGCGATTTTCATGGCAACAGACCCATACTGACAACATGCACCTCACTCCATGCACCACAGCTTCCCACACAAAGACTGACATCACAGCTGTGCATGCACGATTAGTTGACGGCACACTGAGACATCGGTTCATACTGAGCTCATTTCTCATACATTTCGGCAAAAGGACAGTTACTTGTTGATGAGACATGATGCTCTCACATAACCACTGATCACAGCGTATTTTTCTGCGCTGCCGTCAAGAGCAAAAACCTAAATTGTTTCCGCATTTTCAAACGATGACATTGGATTAGAAGTGAATCACATCACGAACATGAGAAAAATGCTCAATGACGTACAGCTGAAACGGCCAAAGCAGTGACACAAATGCACAAAGAATTAATAATCCACACAGAGATTGAGATTAATCTGGAGAACAGCAGCAACTTGTTGGCTCATCTCAAACCAAGGACATCCAGAGAACATTCAAAGGGGGCTTGTAGATCACATTTTCTTTTCATGGAATTCACCCTCACTTTCTTTTTAAGATTACGGAACAAAAAAGTATCTTTAGCTTAATTTTTAATATGTTGTATCTATCCGAGGACATCTACTTCCGACCATGTTTGTGTTTATTCAGGCTGCCACGTGCTTTTAAGTGGCTAGTGTGCTTTTTCAAATCCGTAACAAAATAATTTCCATTATTCACAGGAAGTTCATTATGTACCACAGGCACTTCAGCAGCAGTCTACAATAAATAACCACAATAAGAAAAGGGTAAAAGAACAATAAATACGATGCCCAAAGAGTGACTGAGGGTAGAGGCTGGTTTCCACTTTCCATGTACTTTAAAATACCCATTCATCTAAACCATAACAAATTCCCATATACCATACAGCATTATGTTCTGGGTGGGGAAACTCGGGGGAACAGGTATCTACATCAATCAGGGGCTACATATGGCACAGAAATGGTGCCGCTTTCTTGTTAAATATTCCAAATGAATCTCCTAATTGTATTAAATATGGTCACGGTATGTACATATACGAATCCATCACAGTAGGGAGTGAACAGAAATCAGCATTAATTCCCAGCCACAGAGGAACAACAAATGCTCCGGAATATTCCCTGAAAAGGTGGCCAGTTATTACAGAGATTTCACCATCTGTCTGAAGCCAATAGCAGACATTTGCATTCTCACACAGCACCACCAGAGGACATTTCAAGACTCCTGAGTTTGCATGTGAAAATGGCTCTGAAGTAAATTTGGGGATCCCTGGTTTTGAGCTTCAGTACAAGCTACCAGAGGGCTGTGCATGATGTCTAAATGAGGAGAATTTCCCACTTCTTTTCCCCCAAAGTTAAAAAAATAATGCAATGACTATTAAGAAATTATTTTGTTTGCAAAAAAAAAAAAAAAATGACTGCAGAGTACCAATAAGAAGATTCAGATTTTTTAAAATATCACAACTTATCTAATTAAAGGTGGCATCCTTTAAACGAGCTGCTAACTTTGTGGGAACTTTGCCGACTGTTTGTTGTACAGACAGACATGGCATGAGTGCTTCTGTTAGTTTATGTGGTCTGAAAGTACAAAGGAGTCTTAACAATCCCTTATACACTCCTCATTTGTATGTGGGCTTCAACATTGAATAAACAACCAATATTCTGCTATTATATGTACTTTCATTCAATATCAAAACATTGTGAAACAGCAAAGGGGATAAAGAACGATCATCATCGAGATATTTAAAACACCATGAAACTGTCCTATGACAAAACCTGGCCTTGTCTGCCGTCTTCAGCTCATTCTTTCTTTTTTCCCTACAATTTTTCTTCAAGCCTGCATCTGAAAACTTCTGATCAATGATTGCATGTAATACACCAGACAAGTGGAAATAGTTTGCCATTTAATTCTGACGAGCAACAACAAAAAACCACTGCTTAGAAATTTGTTTTGGAATTTTTTTCGTTCCATCCCTGTGGGGGTTGATATAATTGTAAGACAAAACATGGTAAGTTGCAGCGTTAGTAAACACACAGCACACTGAACAGAAACTTAGGGGCAACATTTAACTTCAGCACACACCAACCACAAAGCACAGGAACTGAATTAATATTCAGAGCCATGCATGGATCCACACACGTGTTGGCCTCACCTTTACGGTCGGGTTTGAGATTGCGGTCCACAGGCGGTGGCTGGCAATCACCGAGGACTGGCCTGCGAGGAGGGGTTTTTGGACTTGAGCGGAATCCCATGTGGGCGGGTGGAGGAACCTGTTTTCCCAGGGAGGAGAACTCCATCGTGCTCGGGGTCATGGGCACATAGTTGGTTTCATGCATTGGCTCCGGCAAACTGCCCGAGTGGTGATGTGAAGGCGAGTTAGCACTCATTGGGACATAGTTCTGGTCAACCTCCTCTGCAGAATGGCCCACTGGCATCATTCCTTTGTTTTTCTGGAAATCACAGATGGAAAAAAAGAACATGCATCTTTTTTTTTTTCCCCATTTAGGCTCAACTTTTTTTTAGGAGAGTGGAAGATGCTGGAGAGGAAAAAAATGAATAGAAAATATATCGTTATAACAATTATAAAATATTAAATCGCCACAAAACTGGAATATGCAACCAAGCTGACTTAGCAGAAAAACAGCAGGACAGTTGACGTTAAAACAAATATTGGATGGCGTGTTTACATAACACAAAACTGTTAAGAAAACGACGGCTAATTAAACCTGAGGCCAGAGATCAGGACAAAGACAAACCATTTTCCTGACCCTAACCCTAACCCTGGTCTGAGTAGTGATTAGAAAACAAATTTAAGTGCAATATGAACATTACTTAATGTGTAAATAACACGCCTCCTTGTTATCTCAATCAAGCATGTCTGCAAACTGAAAGAGCACTGCTGTCCGTCTCCTACATTAGTAAAGCTGACATCTGTGTGATATGTGTAGTTCCTGATAATTGGGGCTGTCAGGCATGACTTCATTAAAAAGCTGTGACTCCATAGTGGAGATCACTGCATGGGATCAGGAGCACATCTGACAACGGCTGTCATTAAGCTAATTTTGCCACTATCCACAAATATAAGATAGCCTCTACAATGTTGACAAAAACAAAGAAAACCAGGAGAGAGTGCTGGAGGCTATGGGCCCAAGCTAACTTGGACTCACTGGAAATATAGTACTGGGATTAAGCTGTCTCAGGTGCCAACAAGTTATTTCCCTATAACTCGTTGAGTAGTGTCTCAGAGCAGCAACTACTAGCCTGTGTAGAGGAAAGAAGAAATCTATTCCTTACCCTGCTAAACCTTGGTCAAGAACTGTCAAAAATTCAAACCTGGACAGATGGTAGTGAATCACCATTACCCTCAAGAAAAAAATACATCATGATCTCAGCTGGAGGTCCAACTGTATACTGATTCACAGTGAAAATGAGAGCATTTTCAAATGTGGTGAAGAGTAATAAGTGCATTAGGATAACAAATGTTGCACCCATTACACCTCCTGTGTACACCTGTTAGTCAGATTTAAGTTCAGATATGTTATGAGACAACACAATAAATAGGGAGGCCAGGTAGTTACATTTACAGTTACCAACCGCTCTTCTGTCTGAGATTACTGTCCCCTACCATTATTTAGGCAATCATCATTCCTACTTGTGCTGTGTGACTGCAGGGTAAATCATTTTTAACTAGATAAAAAGATGGGAAAAAAGTGATTCAAGTTACAACACTTACAAAGTAGCTGTTGAAGCTTTCATTGAAGTCGAATGAGCAGGTTTTGTCTGAGGGGAATGATCTAGGAATGTCATAGCAGTCCTGGGATCCAAAATCTATGAAGAAAAAAACAAACAAACAAACAAAACAAAAAAACAATAAATGCAATACATATCTACTGTAAACTGTGTGGACCCACCAATTAAGGACAGTTATTTTACGGTATTATATTCAAATAGAGTGCTATGCATATATTTTCTTAGTTTTGTCATTAGAGAAAAATTACGTATGGAAAAATGACAAATGAGTACCTCAACTGGGAATGACAAAGTGGGGGAATAAAATGGTACATGCTTTATCTATACAACAGAGTAAATAAGATAAAAGCTGCCAATGTAATAAACACCTTTTAAATCATTCTAACAGTCTCATGTTTTCTTCCAGTGCATTTGCTTTTATTTATCCCTTTTTGGATCCTTTGACTCACGCAAAAATGGTGGGAGAAAAAAATAAATGTTACACTGATTGCTTATTTGTCATCTGTCAAAAATGGCTGATCTGGTTTTACTATAAAACTGCAGTGACATTTTTCACCACACGAGGGAAGGAAGAAGAGGAGGAAAAAAGTGGTATCATCCTTACTCTGTGTTTTCCCTCTTTTTCAGGCCACAGTCTTTCAAAAAAAAGATGTGCGACATCAGTTGTGAATAGCCATTTCTTGTTACATCAGAATTATGAATAAAATTTTCTTCATTCGACATCAGTGGATCAATATCTTAGCACACCTGTATTTGTTTTGTTTGTTGTTATTTGCCATGAAAATAGTGATGACAAATTGAAAGTAAAGGTGCAAAGCTGGAGGAAGAATGCTTTAATAGAGAGTAAAAAAGGGCCTCTCAGCATAGAAACCTTTGGACAAACCTTTGCGGACTCGTGAACAGTCCACAGTGCCGATGGTGTTGCTGCGTAATGCCTTACTCCCAGCACTAGTTGGCACGCAGTAGTTTCCATCTGTCTCCGATGCCGAGCGAGGCACACAATAGGTGTCCGTAGGTGAGCGCTCAGCAGGGGGTGGTGGGAGCCCTGAGCTGGAACTGAGTGAGGGCTTGGGTGGCCTGGGAGGGGGCACTACATCCCCGCCACCCTCTGAGCCTCCTACTCCTGTGGATGATGACAATGTGCGAGGAACCTGGTAAGTGGAGTTTGCACCAGGTGTGGGTGGGATGTCGTAACTAATGGAAAGATTGCGTATTTGTGTCTCCATCGAGTGCTTCCTTGATGGCGTGTTGAAGACATAAAGGTCTGAACTATCCCCACTGTCTGGGTGAGCTGGAGGCGAGGAGGCTGACTTGGGGAGCAGCACAGTGTCTTGGGAGTAGCTGCGAGGGAGTTGATAGAGGCCACTGTCAGTTGAGAGTAAGGCACCGCGGGGGGGAGGCGAGTCATAAAAGGAAGGGGCAGAAGCAGGAGTCGGGTGCTGAGGGAAGAAGCCATTGTGCGAGGTGTGTTTCGCCGAGGATGTGGAGGGTGTGGGCGTGCGGTGAGACGGGAGGTTGTCGTTCAGGTCTGTCTCTGAAGAGGTAGACTTTGAGCATTCGGCTCGGGCTCTGAGAGCACAACACGCACACATATGCAACATAATTATTACCAAGAACATAGCCACAAAAGACATCTCTCATCAGCCATCTTTGAGAACCCGCTCCAGTACAGTATTATTTTTGCAAGTTAAGTTTAGATTCATGCAGGCAAAAACAAAGTAGTACATCAAGTGTTATATTTAAGAAGTATTTTATATGGAGTAAAAACACTTCACATCTGACTCTAATAATCATCATATCTACTTTTATAGTTAATCTGCAGTCACGTTTGTACAAAATGTTTTTGTTCACTGTGGGTCTGTCTCCTATTCATGTCAAGCACTCCACACACGCAGGCAGTTCCAGCCAGATGGCTGGCCACTCACAGACTAGTCTGCTGAGTAAGAGTCTTGCTCTCACACTCTTCCAGGAGTAAATACTCCTGGTCCCTCTCCAGTGGAGGCCGACACTCCCCTGAGCTACATACACCACGCAGCAGAAACAAGGACAACAGTGGCAGTGTAGTTGAGATGAAGAGAGGAGAAATGGGGTAGGATACGTTACAGATAAGACCTTACCTCGCAATTTAACCCCACAGCACAGCAAGTGCTTCGTTTTAAGCAGACATTAGGTGGATTTATCTTACCTGTTGGGTTCAGGCTTTTTGCTCTCGCAGTTGGCAAGCCATAGGTAATCCTGGGGCTCCTCTGAACTGGACTGAGAGTCCAGTTGTCTCACTCTCACTGGCTGGTAGGGAGGTGGCACGCCAGATATCATTGATGCTGTTGGACCAATGTTGCTCAGAACTGGGTTTGGGGGGGTATCCACAACAAGGCCCCCGGTGGCTGACTGGTGAGCGTTTTTTGCTGCTTCTGGAGGAAATAGAGAGGAATATTTAGGCAATCTCTTTCTCAAATAAGGAAACAGGGAAATAGGGGTAAAAAGTTTACACTTTGAAGAGTACGCTTTGAAATTGGTAAATAAAAAATCTGAATGCTTTCAGTGATCAGTGTCAGGACTTTACACTGAAGGTGGGTGATTTTGACATGAACGTTGGCCTCTACACGAGAAGGACAAATGAAGTAATATCAACACTGACGGAGTAAACTTGGACCCAAGGGGTTTCCTAGCAACCAAATTCTAATATAAAACTAGAATCTTAAAGAACATTTTGGCCGGCGCCACACCATCTGTACATCTCTATAATGTCTGGACTTGTGTGGCAAATTCATTGTATGTGCGCTCACCATGATTAAAGAGCAACTGTGGGATAAATCTCACATTGATTTGTATCCCCCTGTTGCGTACATAGAAGTCAACCCTTTATCATAGCTGTAATCAGCAGCTGAACACCTTCTCCATTAATCCAACAAACTATGACAGCCTCGCCTCTCTCCTCTGGAAAGATAAATCCAAACAGGGGACACTGTCCAGCCTGAGGAGAGGAACACTAGTGAAAGCAGCTGGTATCAAACGGAGGCAGATGTTACTGTGAACATCCATTTACAAATACTCCACCAAACGGTATCCTTACCCACTGTTTGAGACCCAACACACACACACAGCTTTATCTGCACATATAAAAACTGAAAACACTTTTTTTTTTTTACCCTCCCACACTTTTTTCTCAGACATAATTTCATCAAGGCCCCTACTTTGTTGGAAGGTGAGTTCTCACATTTCTGAGTCCTTTTCAAACATTTCTGCGTGAGTTTACCCTGAGAGCTGCTATGGTTGATGAATACGTTTTCAATCTACATTTCTTCTTTCCCTGCTTGAATAAATCCAGTTTTATCTCAGCCCAATAATTCCTTTGGAAAAGGGTGTTCCTCTTTAAAGATAATCAACTATCTAATTGTTTTATGATTGGCTTGTTCAAGCTTTCAGTCTATGTTAAAGAAAGAAGGGTCAATGTCCCCTAAATGTTAGAATCTATACCTCTGACACCGTCGGTGAGAAAACTTCCAGCCTTCCTACCGTTTCTTTCTCTCATGTGAAACACTCTACGTTTAGTGTGGCCACACGACAGAGGAGTGGGAGTTCGGGCTCACATGCTGAGCAGTGCAAGCAGAAAGAGAGCCAAGGACATTCTTTTATAATATGAGCTGAGGAAGCCTATGTGCAAGAATGTTTTAAAAGCAGCACCAACAATCCTGCTGCTGATGTCAGGGTTATTCTGTAATACTCGCTACATGAAAGAGGCATATTCGCAAGGATGACCTTGCAGCAGAATAATCAGTGACACATTTGCCAAGTTTTAAAACGACTTTCTCCTCAAAAGTTGTTTTAATTATTCGTTGTGTCAAAATATTTAAGTAGCCCGCAACCTGGTGAGGAGAAACTAAAGACAAGTGCACCCTGCTTGAGGTTGACTCAAATACAAAAAGACGTGCAGAGAAACAAGAGTATGCAGACCCCACTGAATGAAAACCAGATAGGAGACAAAAACCAAAAGGAGGGCGGTGAGATCTACAGGAGCACAATGCTTTGATTATGCAGCTCTGGGAGAAAGGGTAACATGAGCCTGAATGCAACATATGGGTCAACGCATGCATCATCAGACCCTGGCTGAGAACTATGCTGAATAGAGGCCGGGTCCATTCAGCTGATTCATCCACGCTTTTCAGTTTGAAATAAGTTAATGTTGATAAAGTACACTATGAGATAAAGCTGCAAAGCAGAATTTAATAACTGCCAAATAAGCATTTCAATTCTGACACCAACAGCTGCAGAAAGGAGGGTGTAAATTTGTTTCTACGTTTTTTTAAAAACAGTGCTAGCAGCAGGTTAGTGTAAAACCATTTCACTAGAACATCAGCAGGTCTTTTTAGCTGAGAAATTTCAGAGGACGAAGGAGCAGGAATGAAAGATGGTAACCTCCATGAATCTATTACTTCATCAACAGTTGATGTCACTAATATTTTGGGTGTCTATGACACCACACTCAAACAAATCGATGCAGTTAAGAACAATTCTCAGGAACTCAGTCAAAGCAAGAGGCCCATAGGTATGACGTCTTACATATAAAGGCGCGATTAAAACATAAAGAAGTAAGTTGATAAGTAATCCATAGTGATAATTACCATCATCAGCAGGGTTGAAACCACAGATGTCACAGATGTGGCGAACCCACTTATTCATTTCTTCCTCGGTGTCAGCCACCAGGTAGAACACACGGTCGATGGTCTTGATGTCAAATATGAAGCTGTTCTCCAAGTCTTTCTTGCTGAAAGTCAACCCAGCATCCACCTCAGGGGGAAAAAAAACAAACTATCAGACCCTACCATAATGCTGCATTAGTCAGGGAAAACAGACAACATATTTAGAGATACTTAAGGATAGAAACTGCATCAGTGAAATAGAGGCAGAGCTGTACACTACTTTCCTTTACTAAAAAAATGTAAGGACTGTTTCAGGAAAGGTCGACTTGTGTCTGAACTCTAACCACCTTGATGATTAAACTTAACAAAATTAATCCTACAGAAAGGGCTAAATGTAATGTTTCGGGACAAACCTGTAATATGTCGACTACTGACATCAACTTTTGCTCGCCTGATTTGATATTAGAACATGCTACTACACGCTACTGATATAACACCGATCTATGCTTTCAACATCCTAAATGTATAAACATCATGGACAGTTGTGGACATACCTGCTCGCACAAGTTGAGATCAATCACACGGATGGGCTTTTTGGTATGGTCATTCTTGTAGTACTCCAGCACGTCTGGGTCGCCCGTCAGACGGCCACTGCGAAGAACAAACCACCGCTTCTTCCATGCCTGCAGGGTGAACACAGAAATGAGGGCAATGGTCATTTGTGTGTCCTCACCATGACTGCTCCATTCCAAGGTGACCACAGGCTGACCAAATGCTTTATTTTTGTCAGTTTAGCCTAAATGTGCTAGCTTAGCTCGAAGCCTCCGTGTGCATTTTTCACCAGCTGCACTGACCTCACAGAAAAATTGTGAAAGCCAGACGGAAGAGGCCTGAAACCAAAAGTATGTGTCCAGGACATTCACAACAAAAGCAGCATAGTTTGGTCTTACACCCTGACTAAAGTCAATAACCAATTCTATAAAGAGAAATGAGCAATTAGTCTTTTCTTCTAAATGCTATTTGGGTTCTGTGCGAGAAAAACTCCTGAACCAAGTACCACCCAAAAATTTGAAATGAAAAGAAAAAGCAGAAATGGATGTAATCAGGATACATCCCCCTACACATTATACACAAAAAAGACTGACCAGACAATGCACAATCATTATGTTAAGAATAATAATGAGATATAGAAAAAGCTATTAGCTGCATTGCTTTTATCTGTATAATCTATATTGTGTCTGAAACAGATTCCAGAGGATTATTGTAATATAAAGTAATGCAAAGCTACCTGTTCGATTTACCCCAATTACAGATAACTTCCACTCATCATTTAACCATATTGGTTTGTTACCGTATACTTTTGTCATGTTATGAGCTTTCCCTAAAAAGATTAAACATTTAACTTAAATGTTAGGCTATTTCTTATGGTTACATCTTAAAACCTAAAACGTTGGAAAGGATTAATTTAAAATTCAAGTAGGAGGAAGATCACATTGTGTTTAGTCATGGTAGTGTGGCAGAATGTTTTTTCCTTCATGCCTGAAAAAGTTCTCCACCAAATACCAGCGAGACTCGTTTGAGAAGGAAGAAAGAAGTCTGTCATAGGACAGGGGAATTATCCAGAAATCTTTCACTTCCTTTTAACTGCTCATGGTTAAAACAGGGCAAGAGTATCCATATATTCTGCACAAGATTCATCAGCTGGATAGTGACGCAAAAGCACCAAAAACGAGAAGTTAGACTAAATACCAGAAATTCTGAGCACTGTTGCAATCATACAAATCCAAGAAGACTGCCAACCCACCCCGAGATCAGACAGAGCAGGAAACGTACCAAAATAGTATGAGGAATGCAGCCGAACCTCTCTTGCTGTTTTGGCATTAGATTGTGACCACATCAACAATACTGTGGCATTTGTTTTGTCATGTTTTGGCTGTTTTTCCTCACACAGGGTGCCCTTTGTTGCTGAGCCAAGCCCAACACTGACACACCAAGCTGAGCATCAGACCTCTCCTCTTTGCAAACAGGATGAAGACACAAGCAGAGCCTAAAAGCCCTGGGAATCTTACATGTGAGTATACTAAAAAGATTATTCACACTGCACACCGTCAGGCACCGCATTTCACACTCCAGCTCAAAAGGCCTGTTACTGTATAATCACAAACACGCCCACATAGTCCAAATGAAATTCGAAACTTATTAAACCCCTAACCCTTTGAGGCTGGCCCACCATGATATTAAATTTAGCTGTAAAAGCTACAGAGATGTGCAAAATGTTGTGTTGGTTGTACAAAGACAGAGGGGGTAGAAAGAGGACCTGTCTCTCTCTCCTGCATTTGACAAAGCAATCTTGGGTCATGTTACCCTGCGGGGAACAGGGGGACAAAAGCTTGGGTTACAGAGAAGCCCGGCCCGCCCAGCACGAGAGTGTTGACAACCAGGAAAGTTGAACACTCTCAAATCGACGCTATTTAAGACCTGCCCTACAAAACTGACAAATTCATGACAAATCAAAAGACATACAACAAAAGACGTGTCGGTCTCAACAACCTCCACTGAAGTACACTGTGTGAACCCCTCCCAGCTCTGTGTCATCACCCAAACAGTCTCCCTATCATTTCCCTAAAAAACACTGCAAGTGTCTAATACAACTAGCAAAAAGCAAATAACACAAAGGTGTAATTGTCAATAACATGTATTGAATGCATTGCTAACAAACATGGAAGCACCACTGCTTTGAATTTGACATCTGGATTCCATGTCTCTGCGCTGAAAGTGTGTTGTGGTCACAGTTAAGTAGCTTTAAATCCTTATAGCTGGAACCTGAAGAGATTCTGCACCCTCTTTTTTTCACTGCCACATTAGCATGGTTACATGCTGCCGTGGTTCTAGAATAACAAGCTGTGTGGTAGCTGAAGCATCTCTCCCCCATCTGTGGAGCTTCACAGTTTTCCTTGTGCACAATCATACACACGTGTGCTGTTTTTTTTTCAGAACTGATTGTGCTATCAATTCAGCACCAGATATGGACAAAAATAAACACTTATATAATAGCAAAAGTATAGGAAATTAATCGAAATCAGCAGCCTGGGATAGGAGAAGTGCAATGCACTGATGTGGACACAAGCATTACACTAGGTTTACAGGAATGAAGCCAGGGAAGAAACTGAAATTAAATCAAGGCAATAACCAAAAGAAGGTATTTACATACAGTGCTATAGCCTTTTTAGAATCCATTAGTGGTGTGTAATCAGATTTCCCTTCAAGCTTTAACACAAATAAGAGCCTAGCCACCACATTGTTTTTTATCATGCGAGTGTGCTTAAAATCAAATCTACCTTTCACTTAAGCCTAAATGACACATGCTTTACTTTTATTCAAATTCTGACTAAACATCCAAATAACTCATGTAAAGTGAACTTGTGTGCTGTCACAATTCATCATACACACTTTGACATAAAAAATCCACCAGATGTGTTTTCCTAGTCAGAAAATTATGAGGGAGTTTTTTCATTCATAACATGTGCAATGTATTGTTGAAATAAAATAGGCTATACATTCACATGACTTTCAACTCAGAATGAATGGCCTGTAAAAACTAATTGTGCCACCTTGAACGTTAAAACCAACAAGAACTTATTCAAAAACACCCAAATGTTCTCCACCCGCTGTAATTAAAGGGGGGAAAGTTGAATGACACTGACTGCGACAGCATTGTTCAGTACTCACAAGCTGAATAACACAGACACACAAACACTGAGCAGTGTCACATGGTTACATACCTCCTGATAATGCTCACTGAAAAAATGATGAGGTCTCTAGTCCAGCTTTTTGTTGAGTGAATTCCACTGCAACATGTGCTGAGTTGAGTCAGTTATCTAGTCTAAACCAGACAGCAGTGATTAAAGATTGCACTGTAAATACATGTCCAATCAAGCCTTCTTTAATATATGATCAATGCAGGTTACAGAAGCTATGTCAGCTAGTCGGAGTCTGGTGTTCACCACCCCAGGACGGGGAATGGGACAGCATGGGACGATGCTGGTCCAGGACGGGGAGGGCTCCCCTGGAAAAGCAGCTGTGTCTGCCAACCCCTCTTTATCTCCCACCCCCCTTTTCAGCCTGCATCTATTCTGATAGGAGGAGATGCAGGAAGTCACCCTCTTCCATTTGCCCACCCAGGTCCGACAGCTAGAAGGGGGCAGACAGAGAGGGCATTGAGGGGCTCACTAAGATGATGGCAGTGGAAGGGGGGAGGGGGAGGGGGGCTGGAGAGGAGATGCCAACTGAATGTAGTCATGCTGCTGTCAGTGGCCTTCTGACCCGGGATCATCAGAGCATGACAGAGTCAAAGGTGGATCAGAGATTAAAGTACAAATCAAAGACAAATAAAGTAAAAGTCAGTTACTCTGGATTGCATTCCCTTATCTGTGTGACTACTGTAACAAAAAGAGAAATACATGTTTTAATTATTTAATACTTAAGGCCAACAAGCCATGCAGAAGGAGCTGGACCTGAAATATTTAAGAAACAAATGTAGCATGAGGAGCTGTGCACATACAGCCACGTTGTTTTTGGTTTGCTTTGAAATACAATGAAGTGAAAAGAAGTTGTTAACATATCTCTAATACCAAAGTAACAAAACACAGGGAAAATATGCCAAAGTGACAGCCACAATCAGCTCCATGTAAGATCAGCTTAAAGAATCGTTCCTGGAAAATGTTAAGTGTATGAGTAAGAGAGGAATCAGCTCGCCACAGTGACTCAGCTGGCTACTGGCTCCGCTCACTGAGAATGTGACAAGTTTACATATGTCAAGTCAAACAGTAATCTAACAAAGTAGAGAGGCAGTCTACCTGCCGTCAATTATTTGAAAAGGCTCCTTAACCGGGGTAAAACATTTTGTGGAGATATTTCCTGTCTGCCAACTCCTAGCAAAGAAAATCATGCCAATTGCAGTAAAGTCAATTAAAAAAAGGACATTTATTTAAGACACTAACCATCCTAAATTGATACATTTATCATCTGCTACAGCTCCTTAGCCTCTGCTTGAGCAGGTGGTGTGTTGAATTATTTGCCAGTTAAAGGGCATAAAACAAGCCACAACACCCTCAGACAGACCCTGCTAGTTAGTAAGATAAGCCAAAGTCCAAAAAAGGTTTAAATAGGTAAAAAGCCAACCGAGACAGGGTTTACTTATCCAGGACTCAGATGAAATCCTCCCAATTTTATTAAATATACAATGACATTTGGTCAATGTATCTTTTAAGAAAAATTCAAATTAATTCTAGAAATGAGACTGTATAATCTGCTTTGCAAAACTACATTTTGAACTAGCAAACCACCCAACTCCACTCAGGCTCCACTTTAACGGCATTTAAATGGCTAATTGTGTTTAATGGTTTAGATAGCTTAATGCAGCATAAAAGCTCTGCAAGTGCACCAAAGCCGGTGTAGACTCATCATGGGCTATTAAGCTGCATGCTTCAACTTATCCCCAATGTCTTGATGCTAAGTGATGGTGAGATTGGCCTTTGTGTCGCCATATTTCTGCTCCAGTTTGAGATCAGATGTGACGGTGTCATTAGGGCACAGACAGGAATTTGTGTCCTCTTTTTTTCCTTTTTAACTCCTGTTTTGTCTTGTGCTTTATGCGTTATGTGCCAGTCAGCCTTTGTGCAGGCAAAGCAAGTGAATATTCTCCTCTCATATCAATCTT